CAAATAATTATTTTTGGTACGGGAAGTTCCAGAAATTTGCCTTAAGGCATGATGTCATGCGCCCCACTAGCTCAATATTTTTTTTTTTTTGATAACGGTTTCTTTGTTTCATTTTTTTATCACGTTTTGATATAAACTCTTCAATTCAATAAAAATAGTAGTACGTACATTGAAATCATTTCTAAATATTTCTATTAGAGGAATAATGCTAATAATAACAGTTGTTACCTTGGAAAAGCTCAAGATGTAAACCCAATAAATTGAAAATGAGAATTCAATTTATTATTTTGCAAGACTTACGACTTGCACATAAGAGAGAGTATATATTGGAACTTGCATAGCAAACATTTCTAAGCTACTTTCTTCAGTCATCGTTTTCGTAATACGAAATACGACTTGTATCGGAAGTTATGTACTTATAAAGCACTCAATTCCAACACCTTGTGTTAAAGCTTCGACTATGAAATATATTCAACAGATACTCGAAATATGCTTATAATGCACGTAATGTTTTCTTTGTGTGTGAAACTCTTGAATACGGAATATGCTTTTATTTAATATCTCTCGCAATAAATGGAAGATATATAGGATAAACTCAGGGCTCACCGTTTCGAATGAGAATATTCACATTCATAAATCATTTGGAACGGTCTCTGAATTTCTGGATCTTTGAGAACCTTGCATCTATGTGTTTATCGTGTTACGGATTGCTTTTCTTCTTAATAAGCGCGCTGATGATTTCAGTAAGGAGTTTGCGGATATTTTGAGCTCTCCGGAGATGAAAAGACATATTATAAGACGAATAGATGCAGATATTATGAATAAAATTTCATTTATTTTTTGTGTTGCATTGAGATAGGACTCAGTAGAAAATTATAATTTTAGTAATGTTGTACAGTAGCTTGGTTAAAAATCCATCAATATAAGGTTATTAATTCATTTAATTTGACATTATTATCTTAGAAAACTAACAAATATTAGTATTTGCATGCCTACTTACATGATTATCTTATTGATAATTTGTTTTATAAATCTTAAGATTATTAGTAAGTCTATTGCTGTTATTATTTCTCAAGTAATTACATAATGCATTTTATAGGTTTAAGAACTAATTATAATAGCATGATGAAACTATATTTGTATCAAAGTAAATAAGTTATATCAATAAATTATTTATCAGTTAAAATTATATTATTATTATTTTTTTTAATATTTATCAGGTATGAATACATTTAGCAACAAAGTAATAAAAATAATACATTCAAAAAAAGCAATTAAAATTAGAATATTATCAGTTTACATATTAGGCAATATGACAAAACTTGAAAATATGATTATTTTATTTTGATTTCAATATTTTTATATTCAGTTGATTAGTTTAATAAAAAGATCAAAATGTATAGGAACTCCACTTCGATTTATAAATGAATAATTACAATAATGGCAGTGCATCAATTTCAGACTAGATCATAAATTGTACTTCAATGTTTTCATAATAGCTACTATAATATTCTAAATAGAAAACATGGTCAAAATAATGGGTGTCATATATGAGCATTACCAGAAAGTGTATAATTTTATTATAATACATAGCAAAAATCGTAGTAAAAAATAAGCCTATGTATAGAGCAAGCAATAGCAATAATATTAAGTTAAACGTAGTTCGCTAATTATATTAAATTGTTTTTACCAATAATAACAATAACACTGATAATATTAGCAATCTCTTCTATTAAATGTAGAGCTCAAATCGCGCGTTTTATTAAAAAGAATCATATTCTTAAAACGTAAAGATATTTAAAAAAATCATTTTCTCAAAACGTAAAGATATTAAAAAAACATTGGTTCTAATTCATGCTAAGAGTTTTGTATTGTAGTTCCACAAATTCAACTCACAAATAATAAATAAAACTTATAATGAATCAGGTCTAAAATTTACTAACATAAATAACGAGTAATAATTCAAATATCTAATGATTGCTCTTAATAAATCATAATTAAAATTAAATTAATTATATTGCATTATAATTAAATCGCTGCAAATATAATAAATAGTATTTCAGACTAGATCATAATTGTACTTCAATGTTTTCATAATAGCTACTATAATATTCTAAATAGAAAACATGGTCAAAATAATGCGTGTCATATATACCATGAACATATCTGCCAGAAAGTGTTTAATTTTTTTATAATACATGGCAAAATCATCGAAAAAGTAAGACTATCTATAAAGTTCAAAGTAGTTTGCTAAATAAATGGTTAATTAAATGGTTTTTATCAATAATAAGACTGACAATTTAGCGATTTCTTCTATCAGATTTAGGGCTAAAGCGCGTTTCATTAAAACTTTATATCATATTTTAAAACGTAAAATATTGAATAGAACAGTTTTGATTCAAGCTACAAATTTAGTACAATATTGTAGTTTCACAAATTCAAATCATACACAACAGATAAAACCCATAATGAATCAGATCATGTAATTGATTGTCCCGCATTAAATAATATATTTTTAAATCCTTAAGTATAAGTTTAAAATGTTAAATCTTCCAAATCTTAGCAAAACCTACCAAATCTTCTACCATTTTAAGCCAGGAGCTTGCGTTATCTTGAAACTCGACAGGAATTACCAAAAGCGTAGAAAAGTAAAGCAACCTCTGCCTGTATGATATGTATTTTATGCAGTGTATTAGTTCCTAAGTAGATCATAAAGTGCGTATTTCATCTCTACGTGATAATTTACGGTGTACGGATCACACGACCGAGCTTTTATTGAGGTCGACGGGGTTCTATATATCAAGCGCCGCCACTAACTTCGCACTTACACAATCCGCCTGATTTCTAACATACTACCCCCAGTGACTTATATATGCTTTAAATCCATTATGATTTAGTACAAGATTCATTGAGAAATTGTAAGGTCTCAGATAATTGAGAAAATATTAATGTAGTCATATCTTATTGTTTGTTAAAACTCGGGTCACAAGAAAGGTTATTTGTGATTTTTTATTAAATTTAGGATTTGCCTGATTTCTAACATACTACCTCCAATGTCTTATATATGCTTTAAATTCATTATAATTTAGTACAGATCTCAATGAAAATTTTAGGGTCTTAGAGAATTGAGAAACTATCATATATTATAGTAATATTTCTCTTAGTTAAAACTCCGGTCACAAGAAAGGTCATTTATATTAAATTCAGAAATTACCTGATTTCTAACGTACTACCCCCGGTGCCATATATATGCTACAAATCCATTATGATTTAGTACAAGATTCAATGAGAAATTGTAAGATCTTAAAGAATTAAGAAACTATCATTGTAGTAATATTTCTCATAGTTAACTCGGGTCACCAGAAAGGTATTTTAGATTTTATATTAGATTTTGCAATTTTCTGATTTCTAACATACTACTCCCAGTGACTTATATATGCTTTAAATCCATTATGATTTAATTTAGAACTCAATGAGAAATTGTTAGGTCTTAGAGAATTAAGAACTATTATTGTAGTAATATTTTTCTAAGATAATTCTTGTCCCAAGATAGGTTACTTGTGTTTTTATATTAAATTTTGGAATGGCCTGATTTCTAACCTACTACCTCCAATACTATATATGCTTTGAATCCAACGTGATTTAGTACAGAAATTGTAAAGTCATACGAATTGAGAAACTATTATTGTAGGTACTAATATTTCTCTTAATTAACTCATGTATAATTCATTAATTGTATTAAGACTAAATTCTATCATTATAATAACTGCTATAGTTAGAGTAACTTTTGTGAAATTAAAATTTTAGGAAAATATACCATCCAAACATAGTATTGGGAATTTCCTATAAGCATTTGTGTTTTAGAAAAAACCTATTCCAGATTTTAGGTATGAAAAAGTTAAGACTAGTTGAACTTAAGTTCCATTTTCATTTAACTTCTAAAAATTAAATTTTATCTCATTATCCTGCAATTGCCAGATGCAAATTAATAGAGTTTGTTATTAATATTTTATGTTATAATAGATTTTATGTTATAATAGATTTTATGTTATAATATATAAACTACTATCTTTTAACAAAAGTTATTCTAAAAATTTATTCATAATTCCACCTCCAACTTATATTGCTATATACAATTTTAGCTTATTGTGGTGATAATTTTTTCATTATTAATTCATCAAATTTTTTGTAATTATTTATCCAAGCATGGTAGCCAAGTATATGGACAAATAAGTGTAAAAAATTGATCGACGCTTTTTTTATTCATTACACTCCCTGTACACATTATGATTTTACTATTTTTTCATACTTCTATCTCACTTTCAAATTTAAATGAATTAAGGCGGACAGTATAAGTTTCAGTAAGGAACAAAAATTGACAAACATTTTGTTTTAAATTGGTTGTGATATCTAAAATTTGATTAAACACCGTGTATAAAGGTAGGCAGATCATCGTAATTTAAGAGTTATATAGAATGAATGTAATAGTATCAGCGTCAAGTATTATGCTACTATTTTACGCAATGACCTGCCCAAGCTAATTTTTGACTACGGGAAGTGATGAGATAATATGAGAAAAATACTTGAAAAACCAGATAGTCATTACCATAGCAGATATAGTAATTACAAAATCGTTAGGCTATATGAAATTAAATTCAAAATAACTTACTTCAAAATATAAATGCTATAACATTCCTGTCATTCTGCATCACAATTTTAATGAATGCTATAGCTTACACGTCCGATAACGCGTTAAAGACGTGTTTTTAAATGAGACCTTCATTTGATATTTGTGAGTTAAAGTGTTAACTATACACACACACACACACACACACACACACACACACATATATATATATATATATATATATATATATATATATATATATAATGACATCTACTATTAAGTATATACATATATGATACATACGATACTCGTATATTCAAGTATATGATACATACATACTAGTATATTCAAGTGTTCAGTTATTTATACTAACCTGAGGTGGCGGCAAATCTCGATCGAACACCCTCGATTCACAACTCTTCTGTTCCTGAGAGCCGTCATAGTCGATAGTTGACGAGGGATAAGACCGGTCTGACGATTCGGCCTCGGCTGCGGCAGCCGCGAAGCACAGGCAGCGACCGAGAGCGATCAGCAGAGCGAGGGCCGCGCGACGCCCCGACGTCGGCCGCATCACCGCGCCGATGCGATGCCACCTATTGTTCTCATACTGGAAGAAGGAGATTGATTCACGTGAGTGAATTGGTATTAAAGATAGTGGTAAATGTCAAATTGTAATGGGATCGATAAAGGTGTAAATGTTAAGATAATGCTGAGATGGGTATTTAAAGTTTTATGATTCATAAAATTTACGAAATAATTTATAGGTACACATTTAGAAGTGATACTTTGTAAGACTATAAAACGACTTCAATTTATTAGAATGATTATATTAAATATATAATAATGATTATATTTTTGAGACTTAATATTCAAAGTTATATGCCTCTATTACAATTATATCAAAAACTAGTGGGGTGCATGGCATCGTGCCTTAAGGCAAATTGCTGGAACTTCTCATACCGCAATTAAAAATCTTGGTACTGAACCCAAAAATTTACACAAAATGTGTACACATTATTAAATCTCTATAAAATATCTGATAATTTGATGAACATATGTCCAATAAACATTTTTGACCGCCAAATGACATTTTTTTAATTTATTTCTGTTGAGAGTGCATAACCGCTGGACCTGCCTTCCCAAAAATTTGATCAGTTCATCATCTTGTCAATACAAGTAAAATGTTTTTTAAATTATTAAAATCGGACGCTCCGTTCTCTTGAAAACTGAGTTACGATTTTTGGCACTTTTTGCACCGTATCTTCGGAACGGCTAGACCTGCCTTTGCCAAAAATTACCACGTCTCCTTAGCAATACGAATCGAATGTTTTTTGAATTATTCAAATCGGTTGTTCGGTGTTCCCGAAATCGTCGACAAAAATTTGTATCAGCACACACACACATACATCCATTTTTTCTAAGGTGTGCCAAAATGTTCAAAAACCTTTGAAACATGAAGATAAAAATTCGATTTTTGGTGATTACTAGAACTTACCCTACGAGATGTTAATAACACATTATTTCCTACAAAAATGTTTGGACGATACTACAAATACAGTATAAAATAATAGGGTGGCTTAAAACTATTGAAATTTAAATTTGATTGAGACTTGTATTTACATTTTAATATTTTTATTACGTTTGAGAAAATGTAATAAAATAATTCATAAAATCACTATACACAATAAATGATTAAATTTATTAGACAAAATAAATATGAAGAAAAAATATTATACCGGAGAACTTAAGTCAAAATGAAATATAGTAATTAAAATGTAAAAGCATATAATTCTTTTTTAGAGATATTTCCAAGAATAAAAAACAGTTAGAAAGTTTTAATATATTTTTAATTATGCTATTAATAAGCAATCACTATAAAATTTATTATAATCATATTGAATATATTATTTCACTTAGCATTATTAAATTAGTCACGTGACAAATTAAATAATCATATTAATAAATCATTATCATATAAATTATATATCTCAATATAGGATTTTGAACGTTTTCATCTGGGTTTGATCTAAGTGCATTGAGAAATTTCAAGCTAAAATTTATTATTATATTAAATATACTATTTTACTCAGGATTACTAAATTAGTCACGTGACAAATTAAATATTCGTATTAATTAATCAATATCATATAAATTATATTTCTCAACATACAATTTTGACAGATTTCATTTGGGTTTCATCTAAGCATATTGATCATATAAATATATGAATTTTGTCGTAAGTAGAGATATTTGTTCTATAATATTCAGTGTATTACATGATGAATGTTATTCAATAGTTAGCAATAATAGCAAATACATTTGAATTATTTATTTTGTTTGGGTATTTTTAGATAAGAACCAAATATCATTTGTTTTGTTGAATATGTATGCAATAATTTATTTGGATTTTGCAGCAATGATCCCAAAACGCTATTTCCAATATGAAATATATTTTCTCTCTATAATTTTATGACAGGTATCGAATCTGCAACCACCTGGTTTGATTTAAAATTATTATTTATATTGCTTATACTAAAAATGCAATATTATTTGCTATTGTGTAAATTTACACTAACAACTAACAAACTCTTGATATATTATTTTAATACATCAATAAAATCACATTTTTCAGCAAAAAATATTGCATTTTTGTTATGCTTCAAAGCACGTATTTAGATTTTATCCAAATTTAAAAAGTATTATCAAATTATTTATCATAATATCAATAACATTAATATATATTAATATTTTAAGTTGATTTTTTGGTAAATATAATTAATACGGGTGGTAACAAATATCAACTATATTTCAATTTATTATCGTTATTTGGAATACTATTACTGAGGACTATCAGATATTTTACTTAATATAGTTATTTTCAAAGCATATTTCAAAAACTATTATTATGTAAAGTAGGTAGGTAAATATAATCTCAAATAGACACAATTGATAATACCTACTTTACCTTTCGAAATATTTTCAAATATTTTACATAAATCTGACGGAAGAATTGAAGCTGTTGGACTACTAAACGTAGATAAGATATATATTTGAAAAGCTCTATAGCGAAATATTCAATATACTCGTAGTATCATAGAGTTATGTAAATAGGAATATTTTTCCAATTTATATTCATGTGTATTGATATGTGAGATTACGTTTTCGTGCACTTTACAATACTTAAAGCAAATGTATATTGAACATATGATCTAGAAATATATTAAATTTGCATTTAAAAGAAATTTTGAATCTTATTCTATATCAGGTTAAATATTCGAATTCAAAAAATTTTTAAACCTCTCAACGTATATTTATAGATGTGAATGCGATTTATGAAGAATATTTAAATAACACATATAATAAGAATAATTCAATCAAATTATATTAATTACTAGCAAACCCGACGAACTCCGTTTTGCCACCAGATGGTTTTGTGAGAAAGTTGGAAAAAAATTTTATTTACTTTATATTTGAAAAGGAAAATTTCATTTTATTACACAACAGTAATGAATTTATTTTGATTACAAAAATTAAGTGTTTTTAGTTGAACTTCTCTACGTAAATGAAAGTGAATCCGCAAATTATCCGTTTCATTAAAGTGTTCTTTGGTAAACCACATTTTTTGTTTTTTGGTCTAACGTTAACACAAACAAAGCGGATGGTTTCCCAACTTGTGAACAGGCAACGTATAACTGCCCATGTGAAAAACAATGATTTTCTATATTTATCCCGCAAACATTGGCCTTGTGCCTTGTTAATTGTCATTGCGAACGCATGCGACCTGGAATTTGCAATCGTTTGAACTCAAACGGAAGACCAGTCGGAATCATTGGTATGTCACCAAACCGCCAGCAATTTTTGATTGAATGGTGAAATTCAGTGCCTGTATATAATCATTCGTTGCGGCAAGAATTGCTCGTTGACTTAACCAAGCATAATTCTGATAATTCTCACTAATGTCATTACTCGAGTTTTTAATTACGGTGCGTGAAGTTCCAGCAATTTGCATTAAGGCGCGATGCCATGCACCACTTTTCTTAGCTATAAATCTTGCGGAGCCCGAGACCTTTCCAACGAATGCAAAATTGCCAAAATCGGTTCGTGCGTTCTTGAGTTATATCGTCAGGAAGGAAAACCCGATTTATTATATATATATGTAGATTATTACTAACAAATTAGTTAATACATTGAAATACTATACCCATTTTATATTATTATTATGTAGTTATTATTATTACACTAATGAAAGGAATAAAAACTAATTAAAAAAGTTTAACTTTTATGGGTCTGCCCTAAAACATAGGGCTTATTTATTTAGCTAAAAAAATATGAAAATTTATGTTTTCGTATTTTTGTTTAGTTTTTAATTATTGTAAATAGTTGGAAATATATTTCAGCTATTATATGACCTAATCGTTCACTTATCAGCCTAAAATGATTTTCAATAAGTAAGAAAATTTACATACAGGACTTTTCGTCAATTTGTTATTCTTCGTTGGAATATTCCAATGCAAAGATTATTAGATTTCATTCATAAAACATGTTGTTATAGAAAAATCTGTGCAAAACATTCTCGAATGAGATAAACTTTCCACTCAGTTACATTGTTGAGTTCATAAATCGAATTCAGTAAGACGCAGAGTCGGAAAATTTCGATAATAACGGATTACCTATAACTGCAAAGTGCGCAATAATTCAGCAAAAATACCGATTTTCTTAAGAAAACATACTTGAAATATTTCGTTTTGGAAGAATTTGTCTCAAATCGAGTTTATGTATCTTTCCATGAAGTTTCTTCTGTAAGAAAGAAATATAATATACGGAAAATTTGGCTTGTTATACTACGAGGGAAAGTCTTAAATACAAGGTAAATATTTAAATCTTGACAATAGTTAATAATGAGCTGTACTTCCCAACTTCTTGAATTTCTGTCGATTTATATTTATTCAAATAATATATTTGAATATTTAAACGTTCAATGAAGACTTGATAAATGATACATTAGGATATTAAATATACTCGAAATATGAATAATAAAGAAATAATAAGAATAGAATAAAGTCTAATAATAATAATAATAATTGTAATAATAATGATAATAATAATTTTTATAAATAAATCCAAACTGTTTTAAATTATATTGAATAGTTCTTATATTAAAAATGTAATTCCAGTTTCTTTTTGAAACAATAATAAGAGTTTTTAATATCAAAGCATTTACTAAAACATTAAACAAGAGCTTTAAGCCCAAATAAGTTTTTTATCCGTACCTTATTATATTTCGTCAATTTTTTAACCGTCTTTGTAAATATCCTAATAAACGTTTTTATAAGAAAAAAGATCATATAAAATCACTTTTGAAATAATAATTATCAACATAGAACATTTTATATAATTAAGATCATATTGAGAGTTGTAGTTCATAATTAAGGTTGCATAAATGTTCCCTATAAATATTTCTGTAAATCGCGTGCACAATATGTACAAAAAAATTGGTATATTTTCAATACTCTTTTACTCGTTTTCATACTTCAGAATTAGACCAAATAAAACTTTTATTGTCCTACCTAAAACTAGACCATTTAACCAATAATTCCATTTTGATAT